CCGTCTGTGGAGCTGGAGGGTCCTGGTCCTGCTTTCCAGGACCAATTCGGACTGAACCCCATCACCCTTCTCCCCTCACGAGTGGGATGGGGGTGGCAGGGGTACCACAGATGGCCGGGGAGCCTCATGTTCCCATCTGTTTGCCCCTAGCTATCCTGAACCCGAAGCAGCCCAAAGAGACACCAAAAAGCTTCAGCTTTGACTATTCCTACTGGTCCCACACCACGGTAAGCGGCGGGAGGCCTGAGCCCGCCTGGAGCACTGGTATGGGCTGGGGAGAGGCAGGAGGGGGGTGGCAGGGGTACCACAGATGGCCGGGGAGCCTCATGTTCCCATCTGTTTGCCCCTAGCTATCCTGAACCCGAAGCAGCCCAAAGAGACACCAAAAAGCTTCAGCTTTGACTATTCCTACTGGTCCCACACCACGGTAAGCGGCGGGAGGCCTGAGCCCGCCTGGAGCACTGGTATGGGCTGGGGAGAGGCAGGAGGGCCTCATTGCCAAATTTCTCCTTGTCCCTCTCCTCTCGGCAGCCCGCAGACATCAACTATGCGTCTCAGAAGCAAATCGGTGAGGAGATGTTGCAACATGCCTTCGAAGGCTATAACGTTTGCATCTTCGCCTACGGGCAGACAGGTGCCGGAAAATCCTACACCATGATGGGGAAGCAGGAGAAGGACCAGCAAGGCATCATCCCGCAGGTACTGCCTGGTGAAAAGCTGCCCGTTCCCCTCGTCCCAGCAAGATGCGCAAAGGAAAAGCACAGCGGGGAGGGAAGAGGGAAGCAGGGCGGGAGTGGGACGAGGCAGCGACCTGGCATGGCTCTGCCAGAGCGTGGGGGGACAAGGAGGGTCATGCTGGACTCCTCCGAGACTGGATGAATTACTGTCTGGCCACATGAGGCTGGTGTTTGTGAGCAGCAGTAGTCCAAGCGCCAAGCCCCCGCCAGCTGTGCTTGCCGAGAGCTGCTGCGTGCTGGCCCAGCAGGGTGCTGGGGGGGTCTGGGGCTGCTGAGCCCCCCATACCAGTAGGGCGGGTTCTGCCAGCTCCCCAGGAGCCATCCCAGCACTCGTGGGTTTGGTTTTTGGGATGAGAAGGTAGAAATCCCTATGGCCTGGGCAACCCAGGCAGGAGCATCCTTCTGGTAGAGGGCTGAGCAGTCTGGCTCTTCTCTCCGCAGCTGTGCGAGGACCTCTTCTCCCGCATCAACGACACGACGAACGACAACATGTCCTACTCCGTGGAGGTAGGCACCCCATTGCCTGCCTAGTCTGGCTCCAGCCTCCCATCCGGCTCTGCAAGCCATGCCGGTGTGCAGACCCCTCTTTGGAGGGTCCTGTCCCTGGGTGTGGGGTGGGTGGGCAGGGCCTGTTTCTGCCTACGTGCTGAGCGTCCACGTCCTGCCAGCCACTACACCTGCCCATGCCCTCTGCTCTAGGTGAGCTACATGGAGATATATTGCGAGCGTGTGAGGGACCTCCTGAACCCCAAGAACAAGGGGAACCTGCGGGTGAGGGAGCATCCCCTTATGGGCCCATACGTTGAGGACCTTTCCAAGCTGGCCGTGACCTCTTACAATGACATCCAGGACCTCATGGACTCTGGGAACAAGGCCCGGTGAGTTGGGGGAGCAGGAGATGGCCAGGATTTGGAGAGCTTGCAGACACCTCCAGAAGGTCCTGCTTAACTTCCTTGCTTTGCTGGTCTGGCTGCTCTGGAGGTGGCAGTCCCCTCCTGTCTGAGCGTTGGGTACCCCCCACTTATTCTCACCTTACCTCTTTCTGGCTCTTAAAACACCCTGGAGCCAGCAGAAGAAAGCCTGGACTTTTGCATGTCTCCTCCCACAGTCCTCTCCTGTCCTCAAGACTTGCTTTCCCATCATGTACCCTGTCCTGAAATGAGCCCTGGCCCCAGCACCAGCCGCTCCAGTGTCCCCTGCAGAGTGTCATACCTCTGTGTCTTCCTCTCCCCGCAGCACAGTGGCTGCCACCAACATGAACGAGACCAGCAGTCGCTCCCACGCCGTGTTCAACATCATCTTCACACAGAAGCGGCATGACGCCGAGACGGACATCACCACTGAGAAGGTGAGAGCAGAGCCTGGGTAACTCGGGGGAATGCGCGAAAGAATGCGGGAAAGGCTTCGTGTGCTGTCGACAGCACTTGGGACGAGATGGTGCGACCTGACGGAGGGTTGAAACAAGATGGAGATAAGTCCCAGGCACATGCTGGGCTCACAGTCCCTTGAGGGACTGGTCCCTGGACGGGATATTTGGCAGCTGGTGCCCTCCAGCCCTGCCTGCAAGGATGACAGCCCTGCTCCTGGCCAAATCCCAGCAAGGATGACCCCGCAGAGCCCACCTCTGCCTTCAGAGCAGTGTCACCTTGCAAGAGGTCTTTGCTCCATCCTCGGCTCTGTGCCGAAGCCCGGTTTGCTGTGCCTGCTGGGGCTGACAGCCTTGTCTCTGCCTGCAGGTCAGCAAAATCAGCTTGGTGGACCTGGCAGGGAGCGAGCGAGCTGACTCCACTGGCGCAAAGGGCACAAGACTAAAGGTCAGAACTGGCGCGAGGTCCCCCTCTGCTGGCGGGGACGCCACGTCCTGCCCCCTCGTCCCCAACTGTGACATCTCCTTTCCTTGCCTGGTTCCTTGCCCGCTATGCTGCCAAAATCCTTGACTGGGTTTTGTTTGAAAGCTGCCCAGTGCCAGTTCCACTGGGGTCCATGAGTCCCAGCTGGGAGGTGCTGGTTACCCAGTAAGACCAGCTGCTCTTTGCCCACCCCGTACTGGGACTTCCCATCCTCCTGGTGCATCAGGCTTTAGAACTGTTCTGAAATGGGGCCTGAGCATCTGGGCTTTTCTTCTCTCCACCAGGAAGGAGCAAACATCAACAAGTCCTTGACCACGCTGGGGAAAGTCATCTCTGCCCTGGCCGAAATGGTAAGTAGCCAGAGTGCAGACGAGCGGCGGCACCGCGGGGGAGTGGGCTCAGCTCAGCAGGGGTGGGCTCAGCTCCGAGGGATGGAGCATCCCGGCTCTGAGGGATGGGCAGATACGTCCCAAGCTGTCCCTGGGGCTGGGACGAGCTGGGTTGGCGAGGCTGCCGTCTCCCC